AAAATTGGATATAGCATGGTTAAAATAGTTTTTCTTCTTGATCTTTGCTTCAAATCTTACTTCGAAAGTGGCTATGGAAAGCTCATGAAGTGTATTATGTGAAGGAATAAGGTCAAGTTAAAAACAAGGAGGTTTAGCAAGTGAAATATGCATAACAAATTTCATGCAAGGTGAAAAACGCAGACTTTCTCTATGAAGCTTTGAACTTTGCATATGTCTCACCATTTTATGCATATCTTGATCAATTGGAGTCCGATCGATGAGCCGTAAAGTGTGTCGGAAAGGTAAGACAATAAGGAATAAGATGGAAGGTTTACATGTCAGTTCCTCTGAATGAAATTTTCCCAGAAATTCAAGGACGTGGCTGTTGGACTAGCAAAATTCAGCTTAGATCATACTTACGGAATTAAGTCATTGAGGTGTGAAACGAACTCCAAATCAAGCTTGAGATAGTGCGTTGGAAAGCTATCTTCATGTAATTTATGAAAATCAAAACTTTTGATTGAAAGAGATCAGTACAAAGGGCATGAAAATTAATTCTTTACACTGTTTTTGCATAAAAATGTAAGAATGAAGGTACTCGCGTACTCTAGGTGATTGAGGGGGCAAACGATGTCGGATTTAAGCTCACGATATACCATTGGAAAGGTATTTCTGTAAGGAATACAGAAGGATATTTGCATGTCAATTTTAAGGACCAGAGAAGCAAGAAAAGTGGTCTCCTTTGCTGCTGAAACACAAAAACGCAGAGCAAGGAAGAGATTTCACTGTTTTCATCACAACTTGTGAATCCGATATCCGTTTTGAGTGAAACCACTTTCATTTGAAAGATAACTCTTTGAGGATCATGAAGGAATAATTGCATTCAAAGTTCAGAAACCAGAAAAATGAAACTTATTCTCTCTTGTTGCTGCAACACATAAAATGCAAAAACGAGGAGTGTTACCGTTTTCCTTGTAACTCAACAATCTGATGTCTGTTTTGGGTGAAACAAGTTGGGTTGGAAAATTTTTTCACTAAACAATCCAAATAAGCAGAGTTTAGGCTAAAAAATACATTCAAATGATCAAAACTGATTCACATAGTGGCTGGACGAAGAAAGCTCCAAACTTTTTCATGGAAGAGGTGCAAAAACATCATCTCTTTACTTTGATCGGTGAAAACACTAAGGAACAAGGATGCAAGAGTGTTTTTATCTTTCTTAGATGTTCAAAGAGTAAGGGTGAGTGGTGGGAAAGAAGACAAAAACCATGAGAGGGGGAGAGAGAGCTTTACAGGAGGGAGAAAGAATGAATTTGGTTTTGTCAAGCTTTAAACACATGGCTACATATGTATCACGCATGCAAGGGGTGGTCTTCCTTCTTCGACACGTGGCTGCCACATGGTGTCACGCATGCAAGGGCTTCTTCTACTTCGACATGTGGTTGACACATGGCATCAAGCATGTAAGGGCTTCTTCCTTCTTCGACACGTGGCATCACGCATGCAAGGGCTTCTCCTACTTCGACACGTGGCTTCCACATGTCATCACGCATGCAAGGGCTTGCTACATTTTGCCACCTATCGCCACCTATCGCATGCATGCATGACATTTTGAGGGCAGTCTGGTCATTTCACAATTCAGTCTATGAATTAAATTCTAAAAAATCTTGTTGAAGCAAAATCTACCTTATTAAGGTTTGAACTTAGAGACTCTCAACTCCAGACTAAGGACTAATCTTTCAACTACTACACCACCTTTGTTAGTATGTATAGCATTTGAAACTCAAATATAATTATAGGATTTCTAAATAATTCAAAGCATTGAGATCCATCTCTTAAAATATTAAACACATACCGATGAATTATTTGAACAAAATAAAATAAATACTTTTATATCAAAACTTCTTTAACCAAAATCATAAAATTTCGTAAAACACATTGAATTATCTTTGAGAAAAAAGGAGAAATCGCATTACGCACGTGAACATGGAAGGGAGCAAAAATGAGGATATTACAGAAGTCACATCAGAGGACGAGAAGAGAGACTACAAAAGACATTTGTGTGCTTAACATGAACATTTTGGTGCCCACCGTCGATTTGCCTCAATATTTTTGTATATTAATTTTATAAAATATTAGATTATATCAATATAAAAATAATATTTCAAAGGACAAAATTTAAATTCTAAATGCTCTCATAAATTTTTCAAAATTGGATATAGCATGGTTAAAATAGTTTTTCTTCTTGATCTTTGCTTCAAATCTTACTTCGAAAGTGGCTATGGAAAGCTCATGAAGTGTATTATGTGAAGGAATAAGGTCAAGTTAAAAACAAGGAGGTTTAGCAAGTGAAATATGCATAACAAATTTCATGCAAGGTGAAAAACGCTGACTTTCTCTATGAAGCTTTGAACTTTGTATATGTATCACCATTTTGTGCATATCTTGATCAGTTGAAGTCCGATCGATGAGCCGTAAAGTGTGTTGGAAAGGTAAGACAATAAGGAATAAGATGGAAGGTTTACATGTCAGTTCCTCTGCATGAATTTTTCTCAGAAATTCAAGGACGTGGCTGTTGGACTAGCAAAATTCAGCTTGGATCATACTTACGGAATTAAGTCATTGAGGTGTGAAACGAACTCTAAATCAAGCTTGAGATAGTGCGTCAGAAAGCTATCTTCATGTAATTTGTGAAAATCAAAAGTTTAGATTTAAAGAGATCAGTACAGAGGGCATGAAAATTAATTCTTTACACTGTTTTTGCATAAAAACATAAAAATGAAGGTACTCACGTACTCTAAGTGATTGAGGGGGCAAACGATGTTGGATTTAAGCTCACGATATACCATTGGAAAGGTATTTCTGCAAGTAGTACAGAAGGATATTTGCATGTCAATTTTAAGGACCATAGAAGCAAGAAAAGTGGTCTCCTTTGCTGCTGAAACACAAAAACGCAGAGCAAGGAAGATATTTCACTGTTTTCATCACAACTTGTGAATCCGATATCCGTTTTGAGTGAAACCACTTTCATTTGAAAGATAACTCTTTGAGGATCATGAAGGAATAATTGCATTCAAAGTTCAGAAACCAGAAAAATGAAACTTATTCTCTCTTGTTGCTGCAACACATAAAATGCAAAAACGAGGAGTGTTACCGTTTTCCTTGTAACTCAACAATCTGATGTCTGTTTTGGGTGAAACAAGTTGGGTTGGAAAATTTTTTCACTAAACAATCCAAATAAGCAGAGTTTAGGCTAAAAAATACATTCAAATGATCAAAACTGATTCACATAGTGGCTGGACGAAGAAAGCTCCAAACTTTTTCATGGAAGAGGTGCAAAAACATCATCTCTTTACTTTGATCGGTGAAAACACTAAGGAACAAGGATGCAAGAGTGTTTTTATCTTTCTTAGATGTTCAAAGAGTAAGGGTGAGTGGTGGGAAAGAAGACAAAAACCATGAGAGGGGGAGAGAGAGCTTTACAGGAGGGAGAAAGAATGAATTTGGTTTTGTCAAGCTTTAAACACATGGCTGCATGTGTCACGCATGCAAGGGGTGGTTTTCCTTCTTCGACACGTGACTGCCACATGGTGTCATGCATGCAAGGGGTTCTCCTACTTCGACATGTGGCTGACACGTGGTGTCATGCATGCAAGGGCTTCTCCTTCTTCGACACTTGGCATCATGCATATAAGGACTTCTCCTTCTTTGACACATGGTTGACACGTGGCGTCACGTATGCAAGGGCTTCTCCTACTTCGACACGTGGCTTCCACATGTCATCACGCATGCAAGGGCTCGCTACATTTTGCCACCTATCGCCACCTATCTCATGCATGAATGACATTTTGAGGGCAATCTGCTCATTTCACAATTCAGTCTATGAATTAAATTCTGAAAAACCTTGTTGAAGCAAAATCTACCTTGCTAAGGTTTGAACTTAGAGACTTTCAACTCTAGACTAAGGACTAACCTTTCAACTACTACACCACCTTTGCTAGTACGTATAGCATTTGAAACTCAAATATAATTATAGGATTTCTAAATTATTCAAAGCATTGAGATCCATCTCTTAAAATATTAAACACATACCGATGAATTATTTGAACAAAATAAAATAAATACTTTTATATCAAAACTTCTTTAACCAAAATCATAAAATTTCGTAAAACACATTGAATTATCTTTGAGAAAAAAGGAGAAATCGCATTACACACATGAACATGGAAGGGAGCAAAAGCGAGGATGTTACAGAAGTCACATCAGAGGACGAGAAGAGAGACTACAAAAGACACTTGTGTGCTTAACATGAACATTTTGGTGCCCACCATCGATTTGCCTCAATATTTTTGTATAATAATTTTATAAAATATTAGATTATATCAATATAAAAATAATATTTCAAAGGACAAAATTTAAATTCTGAAGTACATAAAATTTAAACTCTAAAGTATATAAAATTTGAACTTCAAAGTTATATTAATATGGATATAGATATTGTATATTTAATTGATCGATAATGTGATTTTTTTTTATACAAATAGTGTATCAAAATTAAACTGTACTTAGTACTGTCATAATTATGAAAATAATTCCGAATGTTGAATTTCATAATTTAAACTTTTAAAATTTTATTTATTTCAAACAATTTGAATGTTTTATTATTTCAACACAGATGTTTGACTCTTACAACACAAGGTGATGTAGAACAATTCAAAAAGCTTGCCTTAGCGTGTAAGTTATAACGCTATTCAACACAAATGTAAAAAACCCTAAAATTATAAAATAATTAGATTAAATAATTATAAAATGATGACTACAAATGAGACTGCATTAGAATTGTGAACTTAAATTATAACGCACAGTTTATCTCACCTAATTTTTTAACTCACGACGGCACAGAAAAGTCACATTAATTAATCTCAACCTTAGATTAAATTATTATTATATCTAACGGCAGAAACAATCTCACTCGTTACTTTATTATATATTTATGTATTCATAATATTAGATTGAAGATAAGATGAAAGCGCTGAACCAATAAGATTCAGAATAGATGGTCTGAGGGACAGCTAATTACAAAAGTGTCCTTGTGATGGGGAGATATAAGAGCAATAATGTTTATGCTGAAGCCACTGCGAATCTCAAACTGAAAAAAGTGCAGACCCAAGAATGGCAGAACACATTCCATTTGCTGTTGCGTCTAATCTCATTCACAGGTTCGTTTTTCCACCCTTTCTTCATTTTAAAAATTTCTCTTTTAAAAAGAATTTTTTGCGTAGTATGCTTGGCTTACATTTTAGGTTTTTTCCCTAATTTTTCAGTTCAACTGTTTGTTTTAGATTCACATCATTTAGAGTTTGTCTGTTTTCTCATTTTAAACAGAGTTTTTAATTTTTAAAATTAAAAAATAGAAAAACTTACTTTTTAATATAAATTTTAAAAATTATTTTAAAAAATTAATTTTTATTTTTAATTTTTAAAACTAAAAATCAAAAATTACTATTTAAGAGCTTGTTTGTTTTTTCTTTTTAAATAGAATTTTTAATTTTTAAAATTAAAAAATAGAAAAAATTGCTTGTTAATATAAATTTTAAAAACTATTTTTAAAAATTAATTTTTATTTTCAGTTTTTAAAATTGAAAATCAGAATTACTATCTAAGAGTTTGTTTGTTTTCTCTTTTTAAATAGAGTTTTTAATTTTTAAAATTAAAAAATAAAAAAATTTACTTGTTAATGTAAATTTTTTAAAAAATTTAAAAATTAATTTTTATTTTCAGTTTTTAAAACTGAAAAATAAAATTGTTATTTAGGTGTTTTTATTTTTATTTTTTTCTTTCTAAAACTAACAAAAGTCTAACTAAAAACAGTTTTAAAAACTAAATTATCAAACAAAATTATAAATTTTGTTTTTAGTTTTTCTTATTTTATTTTCATATTGGATATCTCTTTTACCTTTTTTTGATAATTTTTATAAAATAATTTTTTTCCATTTTTCTTCTTTTTTTAACATAAGTTTTTATTTTTTTCTTTTTATTTCTTTTCCTGCATAATAAAGTTTGTTTGATGGTGTTTTCAGTGTTTGCATTCTTAACATCTGAGACAACGCTTAAAAGATTAATTTTATTAAAAATGATTCTTTTAATTTATCATTTCAAATTTTTTGTTTAAATACCAAAGCTTTTTTTTTTCTTTTGTACTAATATTATAAGAATCCAAAATATCCTTGTTTAAGATATTTTATGAAAATATTATTATTAATGTAATGCACTAATAGAAAATGACATACTATATAATTTTATGAACATTTTTCCAACATAACATTAATTTATAACACAATTACCTTTTATTAATGTTATGAATTACTTATTTAAATCTCATTAAATTTACCATAGAAAGTAATTTACTGTAACTCTATATCAAATGAATTTTCAAGGATGAGAAAATAGTAGAGGGTCAAAGAATTGGTTTCGAGGTTAAACCATCCAAAATTTAAAAATCCTCATTTGTGATGAAAAAGAAAGCAATAAGACATTATTAAGTATGTGTGGAACCCAATGTGAAAAAAAAAAATAAAAAAAAATTATAATGGTGTGATTTGCGATAATATGAATAATTTAACTTCAGCAAAATAATATTATCTTCAATGATAGTATACTAAATATTTAATTCTATTAAATATTGTTCTTAAATATTTGATAGTATGCTAAATATTATCTTCAATGGTAGTATTGTTCTTAAAAGTAGCTGCGCCTATAAAAATATATGAATTAGATTCATGATCCTTCACATGTATCATTAATGTCCCGTAATAAGTTAGAGTACCCGTAGTATTCCTTCTGTTGATGTTTAAAAAAATATATATCTATTTCTAAATGTGTTAATGAGATTTGTACTAACAAAATACTTACGTATTTTTTATTGGTAAGGATTTGTAACTGAGCCGGCCATGGACAAATCATGATTCAATCAATTGAATTAGCAGATTGTTATTACATGTTTTCCTCCCTTTTCCTCGATATTTATGCCAATATTTTTCCAGTTCAACTTCCTCTCAATAAAGCATCCTTCTATGTACTCTTTCTTAATCATCTTAAAGATGGCTGAGTCAGTTATCTGCTGTTACTTCAAATCTCAGGTTGGCTTCCGCAGATTTTCTTGAATTTGGAAAGCAATATGATGTGAGGGAAGCGTTGGAAGAGCTTAAGAACACTATTGAATCTATCAATGATAAGCTCCTTGATGCCGAAGACAAACAAGATCAAGACGTTGGTGTGCGAGTTTGGATCAGAAGGTTCAAAAAAGTACTTCATCAGGCAGATGACTTCTTAGATAAGCTTGCTATCCAATCCACGAGAGACAAATTGGGTGCAGCAGAAGGAAAAGAAGTAAAGAAGGTACTTCTTTCCATTTCATCTTCAAATCAAATTCCTTTATGCAGTGAAATGCCTGACAAAATTAAAGAGATACTAGAAAGTTTCAATGGTGTGGTAAAAGAAATGAAGGATTTAAATTTAAGCCCAAAATCAAGGGTGGTAAAGAAAACTAATAGTGAATGGAGGGAAACGTGCTCTTTTGTATTAGAGTCAGATATCATTGGAAGAGATGATAGTAAAAAGGAGATCATTAGTCTGTTGAGACAATCACATGAAAAGCAAACAGTTTCTGTGATTGCTGTTGTTGGCATTGGTGGTTTAGGGAAGACAGCTCTTGCACAGTTGGTGTATAATGACTTGGAAGTGCAGAATTTTTTTGAAATGCAAACGTGGGTGTGTGTCTCTGATATCTTTGATGTGAAAACTATTCTGAAGAAAATATTAGAATCAATTACTGGCGACCAAATTGAAGTCAAGATATCATTAGACAACTTGCAAAAAAGGCTACGTGAAAAAATAAGTGGTAAGAAATATTTGTTGGTCTTGGACGACATTTGGAATGAGAATAATAAAAAATGGGCTGAAGTGAGAACTCACTTGATGTGTGGTGCTCAAGATAGCAAGATTTTAGTGACAACTCGAAGTGAAATTGCAGCGAAGACAATGAGTGCTAGCACTTCCTATCTTTTGAAAGCGTTGACTGAAAAAGAATCTTGGAGTTTGTTAAAGAAAACTGCATTCGAGGATGGTTCCAAAGTGGTGAATCAAAATCTAGAATCAATGGGGAAAGAAATAGCAGGAAAATGTAAAGGTGTTCCATTAGCCGTTAAAACGCTTGGAGGCCTGTTACGAGGACAATATGAGGAAAGCGAATGGAAGGATGTTTTACACGGTGACTTCTGGAAATTATGTGGAGAGCAAGATAGCATAGTGCCCATTCTAAAACTCAGTTACCAAAACTTGTCCCCAGAGATGAGACAATGTTTTGCTTATTGCTCTATATATCCCAAGGATTGGATGATTTTCAAGGATGAGTTGATTCAGTTGTGGATGGCACAAGGTTACCTTCAATGTTCAACTGATAAACAATGTATGGAAGATATTGGTAACCAATACGTAAAGATGTTTTTGACGAACTCATTTTTTCAAGACGCGGAAAGTGAAGATGGTGAGATCATTAGTTTCAAAATACATGATTTAATGCATGATCTTGCAATGCTTGTTGCTGGAAATGATTATTGTTACTTGGATAGTAAGGCAAAGAAACTCGTAGGTAGACCCATGCATGTATCATTGGAACTCCAGGCCATTCATTTACTGGATTTGTTAGACGAAAACAGGCTGCGAACTTTGATTTTGTGGTCTTACGATGAAGACATTGAAGGGGAACTACCCGTTGCAAATTTCAAATACTTACGCGTCTTGAAGATGCCTTGTTCTTCCATAGTCAAGTTGTCTGCTTCTGCTGAACAGTTGGAGCAGTTAAGATATCTTGATTTGTTTGACAGCGCAGGACGGGTAAGTCTTCCCAAATTTATAAGCAATCTTGTTTTCTTGCAAACATTAAAACTGGGGAATTGCGATGAATCATTTTCAGAAGATGTCGCAAAATTAGTCAATTTGAGATTCCTTGATATTGTTGATTATGATGACTCCTTCACTGGGATGGCAGTTGGGTTGAGAAAATTGTGCTCTTTGCAAATCTTATCAATCTTTGTTGTGGGAGACAGGCAAGAAATAAATTACGGCACATTAAATGAACTGAAGGACTTAATAAGAGGAAAATTACGAATGAAGCATCTCGATCGGGTCAGAGACGTGGCTTGGGAATCACAGGACGTAAATTTAAAACAAAAAAAATTCCTTCAATCCTTAACTCTCAGTTGGTCGTATCAAGACATCTGTAACAGTGACAGCTTACAATTATTAGAAAACCTTGAGTCCCACCATAATCTTAAGCGATTGAAGGTGAATTATTATCCAGGTGTGCTTTTCCCAAATTGGCTTTCCCTCTTCACTAATGTTGTTGACATCAGTCTCTATGCGTTTGATAAGTGTCGTTTTCTCCCACCCTTTGAACGTCTCCCTTACCTGATGTCACTTGTGATAGAGTTACTTCCTGAATTGGAATACATATATCTTCATGAAGATGGTTTTGCAGAAACCTTCTTCCCCTCTTTGAAGAGCCTCGTATTAAGAGGATGTGGGGAACTCAGGGGATGGCTAAAGCTGGGAGATGATATAAATGATTCACAAAATATCTCCTCACCTTATTCATTTCCTCGTCTTTCTCATCTGGAAGTATCTATCTGTCCACAGTTGACTTGCATGCCTACTTTTCCAAATCTTAAGGATTTAAAATGGTATCAATGTAGTGCCGAGCCATTAACAGAGACACTAAACACAACGTCAACATGTTCAGTTGACTCATCTTCCTCCGCTGCTCCTCTTTCCATGCTCAAAGAATTGGAAATTTCTGATCCTATAAATTTGCGGAAGGGTTGGATGCAAAATCTGACTTCTCTCGAGTCTCTTCGAATTCAAGGGTGTCACAGTGAAACACTGGAGGAATTTCAAACTGGGTTTAAGGACGACACCAACTGCCTTATTTCTCTGCAACAAATCACCATACTTGGTTGTGAAAAACTGAAGGCTTTGCCTGATTGGATTTGCAACCTCTCGTCGCTTCAGCATATCTCGATCTTCGGTTGCCCAAAATTGGTATCGCTGCCCCAAGGAATGAGTCGTCTTACCAACTTAAAGATCTTTGAGGTTGATAGTTATTCCCTCTTACTTGAAGAATGCCGAACAGAGACAAGTGCTATTTGTCTCCCAATCGCACACATCCCACAAATTATCCTTCGTAATCGCTGATCATAAAGGTATTGATCTGATACGTATTTATCTTGTAAACGTTGTGTATTGTATTTGCTTTGCTAATAAAATTGTGTTTTCATATTAAAATTTTCTCTTCTGGAGGGAAAAAGAAAACTTGAACTTAAATGGCAATTATTTACCTCTTTTCAAATTCAAGTTAATCTATTTAAAATGTTTTCAAAAATAATAAAAATAATGAAAAAATTTTGGAAGAAAAGATAGTGAATAAAAATGTGTCGTGGGCATTTCCACCATCTCATAGCCCTCTTTTACCGTAAGCAATGATTGATTTATCATAAATGGCTTTAACAACTCATACAACAAGAAAAATCTACAACACAGGCAATAAAGACAAGAAATATATTCAGGGCAACTCTTCCTTAACGATCCTAGAAACCTTTGGAATTTCTTACCAAACATGCATTACGATGAATCATTAACTTATCTAGAAAATTAAAGATTTTTGTCATTTTTTATTAAATTTAAATTATAAATAAATATAATTAATTAAAAATTTTAATAGAATGTTGTAATTACTGAAAAATTTACGGATCATGCATATTTTGATGCTAATAATTGAATTTTGAAAGAATTAGAAGAAAGAAATTGACAATCAAACTAAAGAGCAGAAGTTAAGTGTTGTAGTACTCATTTGTGAGAATACAGATTTATGCATCAAAAGTTTAGAGTGTCACAAAGGTACATTATTCTGCACTTTCTTGCTCTATTTTTGCATCTGTGTGCTATGCAATTTATCCTTTCAAGTTTCGCATTTGTTTTGTATTCTTTATGGGTCCTTGCTAGCATGTGGTGCCTATTTTAATTTTTGGGTGCATTTCCAAGTTGTGAAAAGGGAGACAACTTGTGTTTTTATGCTTGCTATGTACTGTGTGTAATTTAGGCACAAAAGTTTTCTCCCTTTTTCTGTCACTACGCCAAAAATGAGATAAGAGAGCGGTTCCATTTTAAATTAGAGAGAGTTTAGAACTACTCTACAATCTCGTGCTATCCAATATATTACATTTAGGAGAGTGGTGAAATAACCGCTGTAATGCCTTATACTTCTTTCCTCAATATATGATAAATTTTCATAAAAATTTAAATGGTAAAGTAAATTTTCTTTCAAAAACTCTCTAATAAGAAAGAGACATTGAAATGATATAAGGTTCATATAAGTACTTTAGAAAAACAAAGATTCTAAAATTTTCATTAGCAATAAAAAGAAATAGTAGTTTTACAACTGTTTTAAAAGAATGCTATAGAACTAAAAATATCCATTGCATAACTCAAAATAACTAAATCCCATAGCAGTTCTCATTCATCCATGCACTGTGAGCCTGGTACTATTCGTCTGCATTTTCTGAAAATGTTGTGTAAGGGTGAGTCTCTACCCTACCACTCATACATCACACATATTCATCACAAAACACATCTTATCACGATTAAAGAAAACATCATGGCATTACATATCACAGTATCATATAAATCATGTTCTCATCTCAACACATATGATATTCCACAGATTCACAATTTCTTTTACTTTTATCCGCGCTTACCGCGCCTTGTGGCCACTGTTATCCAATGCCTCTATCCCGAGGTCTTACACATCCATGTAAATAGTCGTCGGATGGCCCAATGCAATACGGATACAACGCATGCAATAGACGGCCCCTTAGCAAAGATAATGGTCAGGAGTCAAGTCGGGAAACGAGTGTGTGGCCATGTGGTGCATTCAAACACAATATTCCGTGCACAATTCCGAATGTCACTCACCACCCTATATTTTCCTAAGATATCCCATATCGTCTCGATCTTCCACTCCTTTAGTGTATCTCTGTAACTATTTACATCATATCCTTTTTCCATCTTATACTCTTTCAAGTATATTCACATGTTCACATATGTCATTTCTCATGTTCACACATATTTTTCATTATATTTCCACATACTTTTCATCATATACATCAAACCATGGCATATTCACAATACACATCATTTTTACATGAAACACAATATATTCAAACATGAAACATCTATCTCTTTGTATATTTCATATCACAAAATCATAAAATCATATCAACCATCATCAATATACCTTATCATGCCTTATTTGAACTTAATATCACATTTCACCATGTATTCATCATAAAATCACATAAACAACCGATTATTCTCACTTTTCACCGATTATTTTTCATAAAGCAAGGATTATTCCACATATAATCACATACATGACAAGATCTATGAGAATACAAGTAATAAACATAACAAAATGATAAAGTAGAGTCCCCTTACCTCAAAACAGAGCTTTTACAAGGATTTAACCGAAGATTTAACTCTAGAACAAAATTTTTCCTAAGAACATCACGAACATCTATAAGAAAAAGAAGAAGAAGAGAAACGAACGGTAAATCTAACTTCAAACTTAGAGAAACTTACTTGAAATCGTTTAGAACGGACGTAGAATCAAATATCTGAAGAGAAATCTAAGTTTAGGAGGTTTAGTATGGGAGAAAATGGTGAGATATAGCCTTAGGACCTTTGAAAACTTTGGATAGGAGTGAAGAAATAAAAATTTCATCTGAAACCTCCTTTTTATAGAAATTTTTTGAAAGTTACTGTTCACCACCAGAATTACTATTCATTGCCAGAAACACTGTTCACCACCTTACTGTTCACACTGGAAACACTGTTCGCGGTCATTGTTCACGCCGAAAATACTGTGCATATGTACTATACACAGACTATACGCGGATGTGACGTCAGCCATGACGTCATGATGATGTCACTGATGACGTCATCGGTCACTGTACATACGCAGTTTACTGTTCATAGGCGGTTTTACTGTTCACCGACACTGTTCATAGGCGGTTTTACTGTTCAATTTTTTTTTAATATAAATTCTATCCAAATTTATTCCAATTATACTTTAACAGACCTCATTTTATTTAAATCAAAGTACAGGATGTTATAATTCTCCCCTCCTTTAAGGAATTTTGTCCCCAAAATTCGCTAAGTTACAAAACGATCAGGATATAATTCTCTCATCTTAATCTCAGTTTCCCACGTGGCATCTCCCTAATCACTAGTATTCCATATTACTTTAACAAGTGAAATATCCTTACCCCTTAATTTCTTAACACGGTGATCAACAATTTTCACCAGTTGTACATCATACGACAAATTCTCTCTCACTTGAACAGGATCAAGTTCTATCACGTGAGTAGGGTCAGGAATATACTTTCTAAGCTGAGATACATGAAATACAGGATGCAGGTTTGAGAGATTTGGAGGCAAAGCAATTTCATAAGCAATAGGACTAACTTTACTTAGCACTTCAAATGGCCCAATAAACTTAGGAGATACCTTCTTGGATTTTAGAGCTCTTCCAACTCTAGTCATAAGTGAAACTTTCAAAAACACATGATCATTTATGTGAAACTCCAAAGGTTTTCTCCTCTTATCATAGTAACTCCTTTGCCTATCTTGTGCTATTTTCATCTTTTCTCTGATCAATTTAATTTGCTCATGTTGCTTCTGAACCATATCTGGCGCATATAGGATCGCTTCTCCAGTTTCATACCAAGACAAAGGTGTTCTACACTTCCTTCCGTACAGAGCCTCAAATGGAGACATTCCAATACTTGCATGACAACTATTATTGTACGCGAATTCCACCAAGGGTAGACATTCCTCCCAAGTTCCTTCTTGTACCATCACACAAGCTCTTAATAAATCCTCCAAGGATTGTATTGTTCTTTCAGTCTGATCATCAGTTTATGGATGATAAGCTGAATTAAGTTTTAACTTAGTACCCAAGGCTTTCTGCAGACTCTCCCAAAATCTGGATGTAAACCTTGGATCTCTGTTTGACACAACACTATTTGGCACTCCATGCAATCTGACTATCTCTCTCACATACATATCTGCTAGCTTCTCCAACTTGTACTTCATATTAATGGAAAGAAAATCAGCTGCTTTAGTCAATCTATCTACTATCACCCAAATTGCATCATGATTACTCTTGGTTCTTGGTAGACCAGACACAAAATCTATAGAAATACTATCCCACTTCCACTCAGGAATTTCTAATGGCTGCCACATCCCAGGTGAATGTTGATGTTCTACCTTCGCCTTTTAACAAGTTAAACACTTTGCTACATACTCAGCCACATCCTTCTTCATTCTATTCCACCAAAAATTCTTACGAAGGTCTTGATACATTTTTGTCGTACCAGGATGAAAACTTATTCTACTTTTATGAGCTTCCTCAAGTATCATCTGCTTAAGCTCATTATTAGAAGGAATACACACACAGTTCTTGAACTTAATCAGTCCATTTGCATCACAATGGAACTCCAAATCCTTCCCTTCACCCCTCTGCCTCATCATTTCCTGCAAGAACACATCTTCTTGTTGGGCATCACGAATCCTAACCAAGAAATCATTGTTGATTATCAAAGACCAAGATACAGACTCTGAGGTCGCATCTCATATCTCAGAACTTCTCAATCAACTCTAATTCTTTCACCATCATACTTGTCATATGCAAGGACTTTCTACTTAAAGCATCAGCAACCACATTTGCCTTCCCAGGATGGTAAGACAATGTAAAATCATAATCCTTTAGAAATTCCATCCACCTTCTCTGTCTCACATTTTAAAGTATAATTGGAATAAATTTGGATAGAATTTAAATTAAAAAAAAATGTACAGTAAAACTGCCTATGAACAATGTCGGTGAACAGTAAAACTGCCTATGAACAGTGAAACCGCGTATGTACAGTGACCGATGACGTCATCAATGATATCGTCATAATGTCATGGATGATGTCACATCCACGTATAGTCCGTGTACAGTACATGTGCACAGTGTTTCAGGCGTGAACAGTAAGGCGGTGAACAGTAACTTTCAAAAATTTTCTATACAAGGGGGTTTCAAACGAAATTTTCATTTCCTCACTCCTATTTAAGGTTTTCAAAGGTCTATATCTCACCATTTTCT